CTTCGCCCTCGAGACAGCCCGCCAGCGCTACTCCGCGACGGTGGGCTTCCACCCCGGCTGAACGAAATGCTTTCAGGAGCATCGCGCTGCCCTCGCACTCTGGAGCTCCATTGATAAGGTTCATCTTCTCCGCGTCGTCGTGGTGGTTCTGGAGACGCACGAAGCTGACTTGCTTGCTCGGCGAAATCGCCCTTCGAAACTTTGCGTTCCATATTCTCGTCGGGGGGGTGGATCTTTCTCCAGCAGGTAGGCGGCGATTTCCGCTTCGAGGGCTCCCCGATGTCGGACTTCTCGATGTCTTCAGTAGCCGCGAGACCCAGGCCAGGCGCCGGGGTGCCAATCTCCTTTAACTTCCGCGTGTCCTCCGCGGCCCCGTGGCGCAGAGTGTCCAACGTGGTCTTATAGCCCTCCGACTCGTTGCTCACCGCGTTGACCACTGCGTGAGTCTTTGGGAATGTGTAGGCGACCGTCACGAGCGAGCTGTTGAGCCTCGCCCGATGTGCGGTTGTTTGTCTTGCTCGACCAGTGCTTCTCCGAACGATCGCCGCGCGTCGTCCTCCGCCCTCCCCGCTTCTTCCTGTGCGGCTGCCCCTCGGCCTCGTCGTCGCCGTTGCCCATTTTCGCCACCCCGTGCCCCTGCCGTTCTCGGCGGCGGCGGCCTTGCCGGGCGCGGCCAGGCAACGGCCGCGATTCGCGCGAGCAGCAGCGACGCCTCTGCCACCAACTCAGCCCGCGCATGAGGAGCCATCGAAGCGATTGCCATTATCCAAGGATTTAATGCGGTGAGGGAGGGATGCACGTCGCGCCCATCCACGCGACGCGCTTCCCCCTTCATCATCGCTCGTGGCTTCCGTGCCAGCGAACTATCTAGGCGGCGCGCTTCTCGCGGGCGCAATGCGCGACTTCCCGGGCCCGACTGCGCGCGACCTGCCACGTTTGAAGAAACGGTCGACGACCAGCACTTACTCTTCAGAAGTCCCCACGAAAACCAACAACCCCAAAGACGAATCCACCCGATGTTGGCCGATGGGGCACGTTCACCAATTTAGCGGCGACTGTTGTTTGCGACGCTGACATCCCCGCCGAGGTGAATGAACCCCTTCTGGGCCCGACTGCATAGTGGCTGCCCGAGCGCCCAAAAAGACCGGCGCGCCCTGCCCCCCTGCGTTCTGGCCGCAGCCTCCGGGGTTCAGGGTCTGGGAGAGCGCAGCGATGTTAGTCATGTCGAGCAAAGGCTTGATGGGCCGCCCCGTCAGAGACCAAGATAAGGTGAAACGCGCCGTCGGTTAAAGCGCCTGGGTGACCCTTGCGGGCGCGCGACTGCGAACGCCCCCCCCCCTGAACTTCGGACATCTCAGCTTCTCATCCCGAACCGCTGGGCAGGATGGGCCCACGAATAATTATGGTTCGCTGGGCCCCCCCCTCCTGTTCACGACCGAGAAGCAAGGTCGGCGGCAGAGGCCCGGCGGCGCGCGACGGCCGGCCTGCTGGAGACGATGGGCAAGTGACGGATGGGAATGCCCCTCCCCGCGTCGAAGAGAGCGGGCTGCCCCGAGCAGCTCGCGCGCGCCAGCGGCAATGGCGCTGCGCGCGTCGCGGGCATTGGCCAGGAATGGCAATCGCAACGCGCGCAGCTTCCATATAATGAGCGCCAGCCAAAACCATTGAGGCCTCTCGCCGCCGAGCGCGAATCCCCCTGCGCGCCCGCGGAAAGGGGGCCTCATGCGCGGCCATGCGTGATCTCTCCAAAACGAAACAATACTCGCCACGGGTGGTCAAAATCACGCAACGATCGGACGCGCTCTTGTATGTCACGCGTCGGGCCACCCGCCGGGAATTAACATGTCTCGCCGGTCTTGACGGGGTGACTGGCGCAAGCCTGTGCAGGTAGCTCTTGGGTTCGACCGACATGGGCGATGAGCTGCGCGAGCGCCTGGGCAATATCGCCGCGGTCGCGCTGGCCCAGTCGCGGCCGGCGGGGTCGACGTCGCTGCAGCGAGCTAGCAGACGTCGCCGCGCCGTGGTATTCTTGGCCATGGCTGCCCGCGCCCGCTCGACTATGTCCTGCGCGCGCGAGGCCTGCGGGGTTGGGCAGCGCGGCGGTGGCCTCGACCCGCCGGGCCCAGGTTGGACTGCAAAGGGCGACGCTCCACGCGCAGCAGTCGATTCTGAATGCGTTGAAGCTTGCCAGCTGCGGCCAACATCCTGCTCCCCAGTGGCGGGCAAGCCCGTGAACTCTCCTACTGGCGCGATCTCGCCCGGTCGCGATGACACTCTCGCCGCGGAAGCGGGGTCGTCGACGCGCGCGCCGGGGGCGCGCCGCGGTCGCCCCCCCCCCCCTCCCTCGGCGGCTCGATGCATCAACGCCCTGGTGTATGCTGCGATGCTGTCGGGTCGAAGGCGGCGAGAGGCGCGGCCGTCGCGCCCCTCTTCGGCGCCAAGCCCGCAGGTAAGTGTGATGCGAGACTCGCGAATGGTCTCGGGCAGCCCATGCCTTGCGCATGTCCTGGCCCAGGCTAATCTTCCACTGGTGGCCCACGTCGCGTTGATGTGCCTGTAGTTGTTTCTGCTGGTTTGTTTTTCGCTCAATGGAGTCCAGCGACGTCGCGCTCGCCGTCGCAATAGTTCGCGAAGTCACGTTCGAACCGCTCGTCCAGCGCTTGCTTCCACCGCGTCGACCTTGCACTCTCTGTTGTGAAAAATGCAACCGCTCGCGCGGTGGTGGCGTGGCGCACAATGGAGGCGTGTCGAACCGGATATTTATCCACGCGCGCTGCCGGTAGCGTCTCTTTGTGCCTTCCCAAGTCGCGCGCCGCAGCGGCAATCAATTCTTCACGGTGAATGATTTTTCCTGGAAGCCTCGTGCCAGCATGCCCCAGCCCCATGCATGTCTCAACATGTAAGGCAAGGAATCGTATATGCATAGCCACGAAAGCGCGGTCTGGGATATGCGCCAGCGCGCATACTCGTCGACGAATTCGCCACCCCAGCTTTAAACTTATAAGGGTCTCCAGCAGGTTCGAATATCCGATGAAGTAATCAATGCACGAGCAACTTTCCCGAGAGCCACGGTAGGTACAGCGGACGTCGGGGTCGCACTTGAAAGCCTTGACTCCATGCCAAAAGAGGTCCGCGTGTACGCTCATGTCTTCAAAGCGTTGTTTCAACACTGGTTTGGCACGGTCCAACAGCTTCGTTAAAGTTCTTACTGGTGATAAACCTTGCCTGGCCCTTGGCTGAGGTCCGCGACCGCAACCGGGATAGCTCTGTCGGGCACCTCCGTCGCCACTTGCGTGAGCCAGCTGGGTCGGTTGCGACGCCCTTGCTGCCATTGGCTAACTCGATTGAACCACCCACTTGGTTTGGTTTGGACGGGAAGCAAACCAATATAAAGCGAAGTCGCACGGCACCCCGGTGTACGTCTACGACGCCTCCGCGGCCTGCAATCAGCAGGCGGATGTAAGCTACGATCGATATAGTCGTCGAAGGTGTCGTTTCCTGAACGCTATGCTGCATCGTGCCGACGATTTGGAATGTTACCCTCGTTGTCATCCAAAGTTTATCAAATAAAATCGAATAGTGTTGTCCACTTTGTGAGGAACATTGCGCGCCGTTTGGCGCAACGCGGTTCCAACAATCAGCAGCGCATGAAACGTAGAGAATGCATCGGGGAGGTCGTCGAGACGTCCTGGGCAACTGTTCAAGGATAATGGTTCCCACCCAATAACCGCCACTGGCTTGGCAGTAGTAGAGGTAGTGGTGGGAGTAAATGGTAGCAGGCGCCTGAGAAGGCGTGGGTCTGATGGGCGTGGGTGAGGGCGTGGCCCCAAGATGCCTCAAAGTGTTCCCGCAGGGGACAATGTCCGAACCCAGGACGGGGACAGAGTCGGCTTCGCTCAGCTTGTTACTGTGTGGCTGTGGCGAGTCGTTGGGTCGGGACTCTTGACCTGGGGACTCTTGGGCAGGGGCGTTCTGACATCCGTCGGGGTGTCGACGATGCGGATGTGGTTGGCGTCCAGCAACCTCCGGTGGGAAAAGCATTCCACCCCAATGGCACGGCAACCTTCAGCAGCAAGAGGATCCAATTCAACATCCCGTAGGGCCTGCTCAAGGAGCTGGCCTCACCAGCAACGCCGTTGTGCTTGGGCAAGGTCGTCAAAATCTCCAGCGAGCACTGCTGGGATATGGGTTCGTCGCCGATGCACTCGATGTCACTGAACGCGTCCAGGCGGGCATAGTCGTCTGATGCAGCGGCTCCAGCACCAAGGAAAACGTTGATGTGTTCCTCGGGTCCCGCAGCGCTGCAGCGGACATCCCCAATGCTGGCGGCACGCGCGCGCGCGCTCACGCGCTGGAGCATAGCCGTGCCGCCCCCGAGCGGGGAGATGCCATCGATGCCTCGCTGCTGGTGCCTTGGTGCGGGGGCGCGTCCGCTGAGGCCGCTGCGCCTCCGAAGGCCTGAGCTCGCGGCAGCCTTTGATGATGATGATGATGATGACGATGATGACGACGACGACGACGACGACGACGACGACGATGATGATGATGATGATGATGATGATGATGATGATGATGATGATGATGATGATGATGATGATGATGATGCTGATGATAACGATGATGCTGCTGCTGATGACGATGACGATGACGACGACGATGCCCAGGAGGCGAACGATGATGCGGAGGAGGGCGGGGGAGGAATATGAACCCTGAACACCCCCCTGGCACCCTGTAGCACCTCTGAGCACCCCCCGAATCCCTGCGCAAATACTGTAAACCTCCCTCGTCCTACTTCTCCTTCTACTTCCTCTCCCCCCCGCGACCGATCATCCTGATTCCTCCATTCATCATCCTCATTGTTTGACGTTGATCAGAAGCTCGGGGCTCAAAAGCGTTGGTATATCCTCCTCCTCCTCCTCCTCTTCCTCCCCCTCCTCGAAGGAGGAGGGGGGAGAAATAGAGGATGCGGCCCTGGCGGCGCTCTGTGCTGAGGCTTCGGCGAGACCGCCCGCGTGGACGTCGATAAGAGGGTAAAGGCAGGTCATCACCTTCTCCTCAGTGTCCAGCTGGGGGATGATGCCCTCCTGCGAAGAAGCCCACCCAGTCCTCCATCATTTCCTCATCTGCCCATAGTATCCCCTCATCCTACTCTCCCTCTCGTCGCCGTCCTCCTCCTCCTTCACCGTGTCCACTTTCAGCTCCATCTCGTCCTCCTACGAGGCCTAAAACTACTATGTTTATCGTGAATACTAGTGTTGGTAGTATGATGGATATCGCTATTAATAGTACTAGTCGAATTCTTAGTAGTATTACGTATCACAGCAGCCGTAGTGATGAAATTATTTTGATTCGCATAGCTAAAACTAGTAGGGGTGTAAGTATTTTTTAGCATGTTTTTACTACACAAAGTAAAACTAAAATAATTACCACCACTCGTATCAGTAGTGTTATTGCTCGTTGTTCCTCCTCCTCCTACTACCCAACTCCCTGACCTTTCCCGTCCTCGTCATCCTCCCTCGTCGTCGTCGTCGTCGTCGTCCGTTTCCTCCTCCTCCTTCTGCTTATCCCCCTCCTCCTCCTCCTCCTCCTAATCCTCCTCATCCTCCTTCCCCCCCGTATTCGTCCTGTGGGGCATGCTTATAGCTCGGATGGTTCTCGTGCAATTTCCGGGCCCGATCTCGGCCCATCCGAATGGGAGTGCACACGCCACGCCATCTCCCTTCCCGCATTATGATCCGAGAGCCCACGGTGGTGGGGAGCCAGGTTGGGGAGGAGGGAAGATGGGCAGAGGGGAGGACGGGCGGGAGGGCGGAGGCAGAGGGAGTCGGGGGCGTCAAAGAGGGAGGTTCCCGAATCATGGCCCGAGACACGTGTGCGGACGAGGAGGGGCTAGGGAACGCAACGAGAGAACAGGGGGGCATGGTATCTGACAGACTTCATGGCCCTGGCTAGGTGGCGCCATCCGAACCCTACCCCCCCGCCAACCATCGATTCTCCTGAATCGATGGGAGGCGGGGTAGGGTTCAAATCTCGCCACGTGTCCGGCGAACCCTGCCCCCATCGCCCATCAAGTTATCAAGGTGCCTGAATCGTTGATCGGCGAGGGTAGGGTAGGGTCGGATTTCGCCGCCGACCTGGCCATGATATCCCCCCCCGCGGGCATCACCCCCCTCATGGACGGCCCCGAGGGAGAGGGAGGGGCACCCCTCTCGGGCATGACGACCCAATCTCACCCTGCCCGCCCCTCGAGCGGTGAGGGCGTGCTCTCCCGCGGCACGGGGCGCGCGGGGCAGGCGGAGCCACGGGCCGGACGGTCCCGACGCAGGCCTGGGAGATCCGATTCGGACGGTCCATGACACGATGGGGGCGAGGAGGAGTGATGGACGAGGGGCGAGGCAGGGGAGGGGTCGACGGAGAAGAAGGAAGGACTCTCTTCTCCTCCTCCTCCTGCTGTTCCTCCTCCTCCTCCTCCTCCTCCTCCTCCTCCATCATTTCTTAGGTAAGCCATGGGGGGCTTCAAGCCGAGCCTCCCCCTCCTCCCCCTCCTCCTGCTAGTCCTCCCAGACATGTGGCTGTTCCCTCATGTTCCGGTTCTTCCTGCCTCCCTCTCTGCCTCCGTGTTGCCACTTAGTGTTGCGCCAGTTGCGACTGCTTCTTCCGCCCCCTTCCCTCATCCCCCTCCTGAAAGAGGGGAAGCGGGAGGAGTCGCGAGGAAGAATTTCATATGATCGCCAAAACGATATATGGCATGACGACGGGGGCAAGGATAAAACAAAACGCGGGGAAGGGGACCAGCGGCAAGCATGAGGAAATCGACGCGAGGGGCAGGCGGAAGAAGATAACAAAAACCAACACAAGGAGAAGCAGAGGGGACGCCCCCCGTCGCCAGGGTTCTGTCCTCACTGAAGAAGCCGAGGTCCTCGAGCCCTTGTAAGAACTCCTGCAGAAGCACGGGGGGGGAGGATGAGGAGGAACAGGTGGAGGAGTCAGTGGAGGAGGTGTTCGGGGGGGCGGGGCAGAAGAGGCGGAATGAACAGGATGAGGATGACGAAATGCGAAGAGATGAAGAGGCGTGAGAAACGATAATGATCAGGAGGAATACAAAGCTGGCAGAAGGGGAGGAGACGAGAAGGGCACACGAGTGCCCCCGTTCTGATGACCAGCTGGACGATGAAACAAAGCTGGCAGAACGGGAGGAGAGGAGAAGGGCACACGAGTGCCCCCGTTCTGATGACCAGCTGGACGATGAAGAAGCCCAAGGGTTGCGTGGGAGTCAGGACAGATGCCCACACACGAAGAACTCTGCGAATTGGCGAGAGCCTGGGGATCCACCACCAGCTTCGTATAGAGCGGCTCCTAGGGCGCAGGAGGCCACCTTCACAACTGAACCATCCATCTGGATAAATCGGACTTGACGCCGATCGGCCAGCCATGCAGCCGAACCCACACGCACGCACAGCAATGTCTCAGCTCATGGCCTACAACCTCGACTTCCTGTTGCGAGGAGAAGCGCGCGCGTCTGGCCACTCGGGCCCATCTGCCTCGTCGCACTTTGATATTGCACTCTGCCGGGAAGCACCCAGACTTGTCCCCCTGATGGACAGACGACGGGCCCTCATCACTGTCAACCCCATCGGTGTGCGGGAGGCTGTTCTTGTCCAAGCCGCCTTTGGCGCGGCCGTGTAAGGCAGAGCCCAACGGGTGCATGCATCTCGCTGGACGTCAGGAAAGCGCCCAAGCGCAATCACCACCAGGGGAAGCAGCACCGACCAGCTCTGGACAGTCACGGCGCGGAGCGTTAGCGGCTTCATCTCAACAAGGTCTTCACCGCAAGGCTCGTGGCCCATGGGGCACAGAGCCAGGCCCAGGAACTCCAGCTCCAAGCACACGAGGAAGCACGCCGTTTTGCGCGATCTTCGGCAACAGGCGCACGAAGGGCAACGCATAGCGCGCGACATCCAGCACCAGGCTCACACGCCTGGCCTCCCAGAGGAGCACCACGCTCACGATGCGGCGCACCAGGCTACCCGAAAGTCCAGCACCAGGGCTCATAGAAAATGGCACTTGGCTCACAACTAACCCTCTAGGAAACTCATGAACCGCGCCTGGTCCAAGCAGCGCGGTATCAAGCTCATGCCTTCGAACGCCAGACCCACAACAAGGCGCTTGACGTGCAGCGCCTGGCACGCGATGTCCAGCACCAAGATCACTATCACAACCCCATGCTCGTGTGAAAATGCAAAAGGGTCACGGCGCGCGGCATCTCCAACTCGACGGTCCACTCCGCGTTCGCTATATACCCAACTTTGCGTGTTATCACTGGAATTGTCCCAGCCACGGGCAAATTAAACAGGAAGTCAGGGGTCGCCACCGCCTGCCGAGAGACGACCTCCAGCCACCAGGACGTCGGGATCGGCCCAGACCACGGACAATCTCGGGAACAATCCAGTAGCCTTCGCACGAAATGCGGACCACGACCCCGACGGCCCAGGAGACAGAGCCTGCCACCATCGACTGTGACAAACCGAATTCGCCAATCGAACTACCGATCGCATGTGGCAGATGGCCACGAAAGACAACACTCAATGCTCTTCCGCCCGCCGAAACGCATCGCGGAAAGTGCGTGCACGCGGGGATCCGTGCACCACTTCGGGGCAACATTGCAAAGCGCTCCTGCGCCTCACGTTAACAAAACCGAATCTCCACCCCATCAACACGCGGGGCGTAGCGAGCAACGCCACTATGACAACCCTCTTGGATACGCAGAGGCGCCAAACAAGCATGCTGGACTCCCATGCGCGAGCGCGCTGAGATGCGCGCCGTCCGTCCGTGAATCCGCAGCGCCAAATTGAGCGCAATGCGGTCGAGAACATCTACCCCCGCTGCAAATGAACGGCAAAAGCCGTGCAACCCAGTCCCGCGCGCGCGCAGTCACCAGAGAGCCACGCGGCGCGATGAGGCTATGCCCAGGGGCGTGAAGGTGGTAGGGGGGAGGGCACGACAGGCAAGAACCAAGCTGGATGCGGAAGGAGGAGTAGGAGGAGAAGAAGAGGAGGAACACGAAGAGAAATAGGATCAGTGGAAGGCAAAGAAGGGACAACGCGGGGGATGGCAACGGCGAAAAACGAATCGGATCTAGAAGTGCGGCCCGGGCTGGAGCGGGAGCGCCATTCGGAACGACGGGGGCGAACCGCCGATTCTGAAATGCGCCCCGCAACGCGTTGGCAGAACTGGCCAGAAATCAAAAAGGCCCGCAACATGCAAATCCGAACTCTGCGCCTCGCGCTTGGGAAGAACAGCCCATTCAGAACTTCGCGACCGACTGCGTTGCCACCTAAGCCCCGCGTCGGCGCTGAAACGCGCCTTGTTGTTGTTGTTGTAATTTGGCGCACATCGCGTTCTTGGACTGCTCGGCGGAAATAACATGCAATGTCGGACCCCCTCGAGCGACCGCAACGCGGCAACTTTCGCGCGCCTGCTCTTCACTGGCGCTGGAGTCGTCTCAAAAACACAAGGCTACCGGAACCTGCAGGGCTGCGCCTACAGGCTGCCTGCCCCGCCGAACTGAGGGAAATCCGCCCGCGCCGCCAGCGGGGCAAGCCCCGCGCGAAATTAAGCCCCATTGGGGCAAAGAAAACAGCTACAGAAACAAGGCGGAAAACTATATGAAAGCTCTGGGAAGCCATGAACCACACGTGGGGTCCCGCTCGAACGGGAGGGCCCCCTTCTTCCCAGCGGGATCCCCCTTCACGTTCTGACTCAATGCCAGTGGCATCTTCCAACTCGCGGCGGGTGCGCTTTTTCAGCTCAGAGGAAGCACGCTGCTTCAAATAACGGCCGGCCCCAGGGACAGATCATCTGTAGTTGTGGCGGGGGGGGAGCGCGGGAAGAGGACATATTCTCGGATCGTTGGAGCAGTCCCAACATGTTCGCCACGCGCGCGCGGAGTGCGTCGGCACGGGGGGCGCGGCCTGGCCGCGCCGATTCCTCGGCCAGCGTTTGGCGGCGACGCGGGGCAAGGGCCGATCTTCCAGCCAGGCATTTCAAAACGCTGCCAAGATCCGCAGAGGAATGCCGGGAGAAAAACGCCGCGTCGGACGCCGGCGAAAAGCGGGCGCGCCAGACCGAAGTGCTGACTTCAACACGGCAAACCCATGTTCACTGCGTCAGCCCACCTACAAAAAACGAAGCCCGCGCTTCAGCGGGCGCAATAATATGTTCGAAGGGCCGATGGCGTTCTGATCGAATAAGAAAATTCAGAACGTATGCAACCCACCGCCTGAAATCCCCTGCGCGGAACACTGCGCGGGAAAAGCGGGAGAACAACAGGGCGGCATCAGCGGTGAGAAAATAGCAGCATTCGCAGTGCTCCATCACGAGAAGGGGAGAAAGAGAAGAGGCGGGCGGGGCGGGGGGCGGGCCCCCCCTCCCCGCCCCCCAATCCACAGCGGCCCATTCGCTGCCGCCCGCCCCGTTTTCCAGCTGGGTTTTTTTGCGATCGCGCCGAAGCGGAGGTCGCCCCACCGCCTCTGGTGCGCGCTCGCGGCGTCTCCCGCCCTAAGAAGCTGGCCCGCGGGGCGCTCGCGTCACAGGGCTAGGGGGCCGAGAGTGGGCACCAGGGGGGCTAGAAAGATGCGAGATGTTTTGCTTGGAGGGTGAAATTGGGGTCGGCCGCATGGTCCCGGCAATGATGTCTTTATGGGCCATGAATGGGCGATGCATCCTCGATTGCTGTGTTCGGCGGGGGAACTAATGGAAGCCCCCCGCCTGCACCCATGCGCGAGACTTGAAAGGAAAGGAAGCAAGGGGGCGGGGGGCTCGGGAAAGGCGACGATGGCAACGTGCGCTGAGGGCGCAAAAAGAAAAGGCTGGAACACACGAAAGCGGTCAGGTGAGTGTCGAAATCTGCCCAGCCAATCTGACATGCGGAACAAAACGCCTCAGTGTTGGGGATCTTGAAGGCCAGGGCAAAATGTGAATTCACATTGTGGGGAAAAGCAAAATGTGAATTCACATTTTGGGAAAAAGGAAAATGTGAATTCACATTTAGAAAAAAAGGAAAAATGTAAATTCACATTTTGGAATGTTGTGTAGGTTTCTTTATGAAACGGGCCAAAATGTGAATTTACATTTTGGGAAAAAGGAAAATGTGAATTCACATTTTGGGAAAAAGGAACATGTGAATTCACATTTTGGGAGAAAAGTTGCCCCCATTCCAAATCTGTCTTGGGGGTCGAGAAGTCATCGTTTGGGAACATACCCGATCATCAATCGCACAATCAATACACACTTGCACTCCACTTCGCTGCCCCACGCGCAATATGCAAGAACCCCCGCACACATGAACGATAATGGATGGACGGCGCGTGTGCCCGCGCGGGCAACGCGCGGGCACGAACGACTGGCCCTCAATGACCGCCAACATTGGATGCCAATCGTACCCGTTCACATACATGAACGATACATTGAGCACACATGGGCCATTCAGCCCCCATTGAAGACCCCCTGTTGCAGACCCCCTCTTTCGCTCTCCAATTTGAATGCTCCGAGCGAGTCCCACGCTGACTCTGAAGCCTAAGCCTGAAAGGCTGCGGGCGCGAAGGACATGGAGAGGGAACGGGGGGGGGCAGACGGGGGCCCCCCCCAGGGGCGCAAGGGGGGCAGCGGACCCATCTTTCGCGGCCTGAGCACCGGCTTTGAGGACGAGGAAGGCCGGCCGTCCAGCCTGCAGCTCTGGGGACCACAGCGCCGCCGCGGCGCCGGCGCCGGCGCCGGCGGGGCCTGGCCTTCCCTGCGGCCGGCCCCCCCCCCCACCCCCCGCCTTTTCTCGTTCTCTTTCTCTCTCTCTCTCTCTCTCTCTCTCTCTTCTCTCTCTCTCTCTCTCTCTCTCTCTCTCTCTCTCTCTCTCTCTCTCTCTCTCTCTCTCTCTCTCTCTCTCTC